ATTTGAATAGGGAATTGAGGAAGTAAAGGAGTGAGCCGGATACCTCTTTGGGAAATAGTGTTGTAAATGGAAGGAATGTCAGGTGCAAAGACCCTCAGCCAAGAGTGAGCTTGGTATGTTTGAGGAACAGCAGGGAGAACAATGTGATTGAAGAAGAGTGAACAAGGGGCAAGAATAGAAGATGAGATAGCAGAGATCATGTACAGTCTTGTAGAGCTATTTAGGAGGTAGAATCCACAGGATTTGGTGACTGATTTACTCTGAGAACAGGAAGACTCTAAGGCAACTCCCAGGTGTTTGGGGCTTGGGTGACTGCATCTATGGCACTGCCTTTCTCTGAGGTGGAACATGCAGGAGGACAGGACTATAGTGGTAAGATGCCAAGTTAGAGGTCCCTGTGTAATCCAAAAGTGCTGAGGGCCATCCTGATTGGAGCTGTCCCAGGCTTAATGGTCTGTAACCAAGGAGAGAGATCCACTTCTGAAATTAAATAATGGAACGAGATCACTGAAAGCATGTATGGAATGTAAAAGAAGACTGGGGACAAGCAGATGGCATAATGGTTATGTCACTTTAATAAATAGGCCAGGCTCATATATCCCTGGAGGGGGATAGCCATGAAGAAGTGCTGTCTCACTTTCCCTGTCTGTCTCTGTCTTTCTATGGCGAGCATATGTACCCTATGGAAAAAAAGAATCACATGGAACAGAAAAGTAAAATAAGACTAAGTATCCAATATGGTTACATTGACAGCTGGCAGATTATTGGTGACCTTTGCTGTTAATGGGAGGGTGAGGGTGGCTAAACTGCTGTGGGTTGGTGATTGGGCATTTTTCTGTATGAGAAGATTTGATGAATCACCGTTGCAGAGTAGTTTTAAGACTTGGAAGAGGGGAGACCAGCAGTTAGCGTAATGGCTATGTTGCTGGACTCCCAGGTAGTCAACCACAGTTTGCGTCCCGGACCCGGTGGCTTAAAACTCACGCTGGGCGCCTGTGTGTGTGTGCCCAAGATCCCAAGAGGAGAATGGAGGAGAAGGGATTGCGGCGTGACCATCCCCCCGGGGGGTGATTTCTCGCTTTCTGTCTCTATGTCTCTCTCTGTCTGTCTGGCGAGCACACGCGCCCTATAGCGAAAACCTTTCAAAAAAACCCAAAAAACAAAAAAACAAAGAAAGATAAAGTCAGAGTGTGGAGGTAAGGAATATTGGGGTGCCTTTTTTTTATTGGGGTGCCTTTTGACAGGGAGGGTCTCTTTAATGATTTGATATTTGAATAGGGACTTGAGGAAGTAAAGGAGTGAGCCGGATACCTCTTTGGGAAATAGTGTTGTAAATGGAAGGAATGTCAGGTGCAAAGACCCTCAGCCAAGAGTGAGCTTGGTATGTTTGAGGAACAGCAGGGAGAACAATGTGATTGAAGAAGAGTGAACAAGGGGCAAGAATAGAAGATGAGATAGCAGAGATCATGTACAGTCTTGTAGAGCTATTTAGGAGGTAGAATCCACAGGATTTGGTGACTGATTTACTCTGAGAACAGGAAGACTCTAAGGCAACTCCCAGGTGTTTGGGGCTTGGGTGACTGCATCTATGGCACTGCCTTTCTCTGAGGTGGAACATGCAGGAGGACAGGACTATAGTGGTAAGATGCCAAGTTAGAGGTCCCTGTGTAATCCAAAAGTGCTGAGGGCCATCCTGATTGGAGCTGTCCCAGGCTTAATGGTCTGTAACCAAGGAGAGAGATCCACTTCTGAAATTAAATAATGGAACGAGATCACTGAAAGCATGTATGGAATGTAAAAGAAGACTGGGGACAAGCAGATGGCATAATGGTTATGTCACTGGACTCCCATGTAGTTGACCACATTTTGAGTGCTAGACCCAGCGGCTTAAAAATCATGCTGGGCATGTGTGTATGCATGCCCAAGATCCTGAGAGGAGAATGGAGAAGGGATTGCAGTGTGGCCATCCTCCGTGAGGGGTGATTTCTCACTTTCTGTCTCTCTGGCAAGCACATACATCTCTACAGCACAAATCTCTCAAAAAAAAGGAAGAAAAAAAAGAAAAAGACTAGAGCAGACCTGGGGAAAGGATACCGACATGTAAGGAATGGTCAAACGAAGAGGGGGTGGGTATCAGAGAAGTAGGAGGAAAACCAGCAGGGAGTTAGCTCATGGGAGCAGAGGAAAGAAAGGGCCTTGCAGAGGAAGGCCTTGTTAAGTGTCACATGTTGCCACTGGGAAGAGTTAGCTGAGGGTAGAAGAGAATCTATTGACTTTAACCACCAAGAGGGCCTGGGCGACCTTCCTAAGAACAGCTTCCAGGGAGTGGTGGGCATATGAGGCAGATTGCAGTGGGTTGAAGAGCTTGTAGGAGGTACCAAAGTAGAGATGGTCAGAGTAGACGGATTTATCAAGAAGCTTAGCTTGAAGAGGAGAGAGGGACAGTGGGGGATGTGGGGGCAGATAGAGGGTTTTTATTCCCAGATGGAAGAGACTTGAGCTTCTATAAATGCTGATAGAAAGGAGGCAACAGGGAGGGAGAGGTTGAAAATACTGGAGGAAGGGGGATGACTGTTGAGGAGGAGGGAGCAGGGGTGGGCACCAGAGCCCAGGTGGAGAGACTGGCTTTAAATAGTATAGGGGCCCCCTCTTCCTCACAGAGAAGGAAAGCAGTGGTGGTGGTGGTGGTGGTGGTGGTGATGGTGATGGAAAGGGGTGGATACAAGGGCATTGAGGAGGTCTGGTGAAAGGAACACATTCGGAAAGTTTAAAGCAATAGAGGGATTCCTGCAGGAAGTACCATTTCAGCTGGGTCATGAGATTCAGACAGGATTTCAACAGGCAAAAATTGGTGCAGAAGGAAGAATATTTTAAGTGGAAGAAACAGAATCAGCAAAGGCATGGGGGTGGGAAAAGACTGGGCATGCTGAGGGACTAATGAATAAGGTAGCTTAATGAAGCTGAGACACTAGCAAATAGGCTAACATGGATGCCACTGATGACAGTCATAACAATTACAGTGTATTAAGCACCAGACCTACCCCATGGCAGGGGTACTTAAGTCATTTAATCCCACCACATCCTGCCAAATAGGTATTTCTTCATTTTGCAGATAAACAAAATGAGTCCCAGAATGGCGAAGAAATGGACCCAGGGTCACCTAGTTAGTAGGTGGTGGGGCTGATATTGAAACCCACATCTGTCTGTCTCCAAAGCCCATGCCTTTTCCACCTGACAGGAAAGGCCAGGTGAGGCCCATATGATGGAGGAGATTTGAATGCCAACTTGGGGACTCTGAACTTTATCCTGGAACCAATGGGGAGCCAAGATGGGCATCTGAGCTACAGAGATTCATGCTCAAAGGTAGACTTCAGGAGGGCTAATGAGGTCCAAGAGGGAAGGAAAAATAAATCAGAAGGTGACCACAGTGTCAGGGTGAGAGGTAGCAGTGGCTCGGTCTGGATGAGAGAGGAGTGAGCAGTGAGACTTGAATGTCATTCGTGCCTCACAACAGCATTGAGAAGTGAGGGTTTTTCTTCTCGTTTTATATATGAGGAATGGGAGACTCAGAAAGGAAAGGCTTTTTGCCCAGGACTTGAGCCCTGGTTCATATGATTTTGCCAAATCAGTGAGTCTGTGGAACAATGTGTCAGAAAGGGCTATGTATGGGTGTGTGTGTGGGTGTGTGTGTATGTGGGTGTGTGTGCGCACATGCACACGTGCATGAATGTGCTTGTTTGTCAAACAGATAACGATACCTTCCCTTACCCGTCCACTTTCCTTCCCAGCTCTTCCCAATCCTCTTATTTCCTGGATTTCATACTTACTTATTGCATCCCCTAAGCCAAAGGGTCTGGGAATGGGGTGATGCTGTTTCCTTGGCTTGTTCCCCAGAAGAACAATCTTTTCACTCCCAAGGCACCTGATCCCCTCCCAGCCCTACTGTCTGACCATCTACCCCCTGACACTGCCTCAGCTCCAGTGACTGCCACATGCAGCCTGGTTCCTGGTACCGCTCAGCAACCCCAGGGGCAGGGGCTTGTCCCTGTAGTGACTCTTCCCCATTGCCACGGCTGCTTCAGTGTGGGCTGATGGCCACGTTGGGAGTTAGATTCAGTTCCCAACAGTTAACAGTCATCACCACCATGCTCCCATTGCTATCATTTGCCAGGCACTTGAGATATGTTTCAGTTTTTACAACAGTACTGGGAGTTGGCATCATGAGCCCCATTTTTATAGATGAAGAAACTGAGACTCTGAGAGGTACAGTACCATGCCTGGGGCTACATAGCCTAGAAGCACTTAGAACTGGGATTTTAACCCAGGTCTGTTTGCTTCCAAAGCTGTAGGCTTTCCATACTCTGTTTCTAAGTATATCCTATTTTCCTGACACTGAGCTGTCAGGAAATACACATTTTTGTCCTTCAAGGGTAGGGTAGATTTCTAGACATAGTGGCAACTTCACTAAAGGACTTGGTGGGATGAGTCTGAGACATGGCTCCAGGAACTCTGGGTTCAAATCATGACTCTCCCATTTGCCCAGCTATGTGACCTTGGGCAGGCTGTCTAATTTCTCCAATTTCTTTAGTCATCTCATCTCTAAAATGCTATTTTGCAGAGTTGTTGCAGGAGTTAAACAAGATGATGTATGCAAAGTGCCAGAACAGAGCAGGTTGCTGTCATTTATATTAAAATGAAGGTTGGGCACCCATCAGGATTAAGATGGAGTTTGTATACCCTGGGAATGACCATAAGACTGAGCCCAGAGTAAGTGTGGGGGAGGACTGTCCCAGGAGGGGACCAGCAACAGGTCTCTTGGAGACTGAGTTGGGTGTGGCCCTGGATAATATATCACACTGTACTCCCCATTTGGATCCCCATCCTAGCCCTACCTCCCAGTTCCGGCCCTTCATATATCTCCCCTGCTCTGCAAACTAATGCCTCTGCCTCTCTCTGTCACCCGCCGCCTGTGGCCTCTAACCTGCCCTTCCTGGCCCCAGGGAAGAGGAGGAGGAGGAGGAGACTGAGGAAGAGGAAGAGGAAGACGCTCACCAGTTCTGCTGTCCGGCCTCCGAGTGCAGTAGTCCCTCCTCTCGGTAACTGAGAGGACAAGGGCCATTTTCTATGCAGAAGCAAAAGCCTTAACCAGTTCCTCTGCCCGCCCCCAACCCTCACAGATACCCCCATGGGACCCTGTCCCCTGCTTCAGGAACCAGATGGGCAAGCATTGTGCCCCCTTCCTCCCTTACCTCCTTCTTGGAATTCCCAACCCCACTGCTGTCTCCCTGGACTCCAGTCCCTGAATTAAAAAGAGCTGGAGCCCTAGGTCTGACTGAAATGAGGGAGAAGCAGAGCTTGGAGCTTGGAGCTTGGAACCTGGATCCTCCCACACCTGCACTCCCATTTCCCAGGCACCCTGGAGCCTGCCACTCCTGGAGAGGTCTCCAAATGACATCCTAAGGACCTACCTCTGTCCTCTGTGAGCACAAACAGAGATGCAGGGTGCCTAGGGCTCAGAGGACCAGACGGGGTCAGAACCCAGCCTGCTTAGTGCCCTGTCATTTATTCCCTTGCTGTGGCCATTGCTGCCATCTCTTCACTGCTTGAAGGCCTCGCCTCATACCCCCTGCCACTCCCATAGTGCTCTGTAAATGTGGTCAGGAGGAAAAGGCCTTTCGGAGTATGTGTTGCTATGTACAAAGGAATTTCCATCAATAAAAGCTGATCTCTTCTCTCTGTCTGATGTATGTTCCACCCCACCCCCGCTCTCCTCTGCAGCCCTACCAGGGCCTTGCCTTCTTTCCTATCCAGGGCTGGGATCAGGGGCTGGGAGAAAGAGTAGGGTTTGGTTTGTGGGATTGTCAACACCCAAGAGGTACTCAATAAATGCACAAATGGCTCCCAACATGGGCAGGTCTATGACCTTCAGCCCATTAGCCTAAAGCAGCATGAGCTAGTTAAACCTTGAATATGCTGCTTGACTTCGTTGATACATAGTTTCCCTAACTGTAAAATGAAGGCTTTTGGACCAGAGGGTCTCCAAAGGCTCTTTCAGCTCTGACATTCTGTGGATCTGAGATGCTACAGCCTTAAGAAACTGTGATTGTTTGAATTTAAGATATGATTATTTAGTAATACAATCCATGCAATTCTGTGATTTCTATTTCTACAGTGCTGTAGTTTTTGAGTTTTCCTGTAGGTTTAAGACTTCATGATTCCACCATTCAAAAAAATTCAGACAATGTGATTTTAATATTCTGTGTGGTTAAGATGCTTGAGCCTGTACGTTTAAGGTTCTGGTTCCACGACTTTTGGGATCTCTGAATCTGAAAGGAAGTCATTTCCCTCCGATGCAATGATGCTTAATATTCCCTTCATCTGGCCAGAAGCTGGTTCTAAGATTCGCTGGAGGCCGTCAGCAGGAGAATAGAAGCTGTCCTTTATGGATTTATAGGACCCACACCTTCCATGATGTGTCTGTGTTAGCACAGCCAGGAGACTCTGAAGTGAGGTCATACCCAAGCATTCCTTCTCTGACACTTTAGTATTAAACAACTGATTTTACCTTCTGGTTTTGCCACTTACTGTCTGTGTAACCTGAGCAAGATTTTTCTTCGTTTTGAGCTTTTTTTCCCTCCTGAGTACAGTGAGAATATATCCAGCTCTCTGGGTGGTCACGAAGATTAGCATGAAAGAACACAACGAGCCATCATAGGGGCTGGTGCACAGTTGGTCAAATGTGCCCTGGTTGGCAGCTCTTGTTTTGATTAAGGTCCAGGTGAGAGTCCCTCTCTCCTTTCTTTCCTCACTCTCTCCCTTCAGCATCCCCATCACATCAAGCATGTGGTTTTTTTCAGAACATTACCTCATTCCCTCACTCATTGCTTTACTTAGTCATTCAGTTCATCTACTCATTCATTTATTAAAATTCTCATTTCTCTCCCACTTCCCTCCTTCTCTCCTCTTCATTCCCTTATTTACTTTTCCATAAAGTGTTGCTTGAGCACCTATGAGGTGCAAGACCTCAAGCTGAATACCGTGAGGGATCAGAAGTAAGACCATGTCTGTGTTCTTCATGAGTCCTCCATCTCCTGGGGTGGGGGCTGAGGGGGGATGAGAGATCCTTTGGGAAAGTAGGCAGGCTGTGAAGAGCAAAAATGATCAGACAAAAATGGCTTCAGGAATGAGCCTTTCCAGGCCCAAAGAGGAGGGAGATGTCAAGGTGGGCAGGGAGTGGTGGTGTCCAGGAGAGCTGGCTGGAGGGAGAGGGGTGAGAGCTGGGCCTTGAAGTCTGCGAAGGGTTTGAGCCAGATGGTAAGAGGTTAGAAGGCATTACAGGAAATAGGGACCACATGGACAAAAACTGGCAGAGGACTGCAGGGTCGTGTTGGGAATGGTGAGTAGATTATGCTATTAAACTGGCTCTCCAGGATCTGTGAATTGAGATGACCTAAGGCTGGAGAGAAGCCCATTCTACCCTTTGGATAGAAATAGAAGAAAGTATGGGGGGGTGGAAGGCTGACTAAATAGAGGGAAAGGCAAGTCAAAGTCAGTTGGCCATTCTGGAAGCTATGGGGACAAAGACTCCTGTGTAGGCAACTGAATTAGATGAATTGGGCTGGAGACCTGTGCTGTGGGAAGGGGCATGTTTATATCAGTTCTGAGAGATATCTGTATGCATGTACTGTCTCCATATGCCCATGCAGCCATGTGTGTCTTTGTGTGAGGCTGTGTGGTTCTTATAGTAGTGAGAGACTGTGTGCACTATTACATATCTGAGGGAATGTGACTGTGAGGCTGGGTGTGAGGAATTCTGAGTGTGTGAGGCCCATTATGTGCAGTGGTGACTTTCTGTGCCTGGTAGGTTGTAATCACAAGGCTAGGTTTGAGTAGCTTTTAAGCATGTGGGGCTGTGGCTTTTAGGGTAACAGTTGTCAGGCAGGATGGTCACAGATACATGAGACTTCAACTTGTGGTCTTAGGGGGCCAAGCTAGCTACTGAGCAATTGATGTGTGCTGGGCTCAGGCCTGGGCATGGTGGGTCTACGGAGGTGAATCACAGCAGGCCACTGCCCTTGGGAAACAGGATCAGGGGTTTGGGGTGAGGAATGAACCCCTCAAGAGAGAATCACAAGTTTGGCAGTGATAAGGACCAGCTGACATAAGGGTGTGCACAGGACACAGAGGAGGGAATAGCTGATTCTGTCCAGTTCTGTGAGGGGTGGGGGTGAGTCAGAACCAACTTCCCAAGAGGACCTGCCTACTCAGGGTACTGCAAGTTGAAGATGAGTTCACCCAGACCACTCAGCTCTGGAGATGAAGGGGAGAGAGAGAACATTTTAGGTAGAAGAAACAAAGGAAGAATATGAGCATGGGCATGGAGACATGGACCAGCTCACCACAGTCTAGGAACTGCAAGTAGTCCACTGTTGCCAACATGGCAGGAGGAAGGTGGGGGAGGAGAGCGGACAGATTCAGAGGGCCTTCTGAAACTAAAAGTGGAAGAGCTAAAAGAGGCCTAGAAGGTGGAGGATTCATGGCCTGTGCAACCCTGAGCAATTCACTTTGACTCTGGGCCTCAACTGGGATCTGTAAGATGGGATGTTCATAAAATCAAGTTCATAAAGCGCATCCCAGCTCTGTGGGTCTTCTACCCTGGCCAGCCAAATTCATGAGTCATAGCTCTTGAAGTTAGGAGATTCTCCCATCTAACCTCAGCCTTTCCTGCTTCCTCCTGGGTTGTGCCCTCACTCACCCATTCCTCAAATATTTACCCAGCATCTGGCTCCTTGCATGCCACTCTAGGAGGCACAGGGAGGCAGAGAATGCAAACCCCTTGGAGGAGTTTCTCAATGTCCAGGTAGGGGAGGGGCAGCAAGAATGTGAACTTTGTGTTGGGATACACTTTTGTTTGAATTCTGGTTATACTGCTACTGAACTTTGACACTTTGGGCAAGTTACTTCATCTCTCTGTGCCTCAGTTTCATCATCTATGTTACATTCTTCAGGGAGAACAACTCAGACCTTGCAGAGTTACTAGGGTTAGCAAAAAGTAGGCAATCATGACTCAACCACAGTGGTGAAGTGGTGCAGTGCTATCCAGCTGCTCCATGATACTGGATCCATAGGGAAAATGGAGACTTGGTTCCTGGGTCAGTCTGTATGCACTGGGCACATGCATGTTTCCATGATCCTGGCTGGCTGGGAAGGCTGGGAGGAGGATTGAGGTGCAGAATCTGGGCAAGGGTCCCTCCCCACCCCCATCCCTGGAAATAAATTAAAAAAAAAAAAAAACCTTTTTTAAAAAGTACTCAATGGCAACTGTTATTTTTAGGCCTGCAAAGAAGCAGAGCCAGGATTCACACCCAGGTCTGTGTATTCCCAAAGCCTGTGTTTGCCCGCTGTATGCCCAGGCAGCCCTTTCGATGGCCTCCTTCCCTGTCAGCCCCTATGCCAAGTCAGGCTGGGCTCAGAATTGGAATCCCTGTGGTGTTGGGATTGGGCAGCAGAAACAGCTTGCAGAAGAGCTATTGAAGGAGGGAGAGGTGATTGCTGTCCCTCTACCTTTCTGCCCCCCACTGCTGGGTCTGGTCTCCTAGCTGTCTTCTCTCTCCTGAGCCCAAAGCCCCTGGCCCCATCTAGGTGCACTGACCACCTTGTCTTGTTTTTTTTTTTTTCCCCTCCCGCCCCCCCCCCCCCCACACACACACACATACACCCCTGCTTCCAGCCTAAGTTGTCATGGGGATAGTCCTTAGCATCCCTAGCTTCCTCTTGCCCTCATCTTATGGTATCCATGACAACAGCCCCATTCGTTTCCATGGCAACTGCATCCTGATTCCATCCCCTGCTGGCTGCCTGGCTCCGGGCAGTGCCAATAAAGGAAAGGAACAAGAAAAGACTTCCCATTAGGAGCAGCATCTGGGGAGGGTCATCGCCATGCCATGGGGAGGCCTGTCCCAAATCCCTGTGAAACATCCTGCCTGACTTCTTCCCATCTTAGTGCCCTGGCTCACAAGGTTCCCTCACTCCTTGTCTCTACCAGCTACTCATAGGCATAGCCCAGCCCACAAGCTTCCTCCCAAAAAAACCTTCAAGGCAGCAGGAGAGCGAGCACACGCTTTGGGATCTGAAGCCTTGTTCTGCCACTTGCTAGCTCTGAGACCTTTGGCAGTCAGTCACTTCCTCCCTCAGAGCCTTTTTCTCCACCTGTAAAATAGAAATCCTAGTTCTTCCCTCAAATTTGCCATGCAGATTAAATAATGTGCAGAAAACGCCTGACACAGGGAAGGTGTGCAATAAGAGTGTGAGTTTATTTTTATTCTGCTCAGCCGCCCCCAAGCAGAAGGGATCTCTCTCCTATGCTCCCCCAGTACTTCCTCTCTTGCCCAACCCTGATAACTTTCTGCTTTGTACTGTGGCTATTTGTGTAACATGGCTTATCCCCCCTCTGCAGAGGATGCTTTCCATCTACCCTCCAGAATAACCCAGCAGACAGTGCACATGTGTGCAGGTGTGTGTGTGTGTGTGTGTGTGCTTGTGTGGTCATATCTGTATATGTGCATGCATGTATGTATTTATGTCTATTTAATGTGCTTGTGAATGTGCGTTTTTGTTTCTAAGTTTGTTGGCCTTTAGATGTGTCTGTGGTTTTGTACCTGTGCACGTGTGTGTGCATGCACATGTGTGGCTGTGCATATGTGCACATGCTTTGCTCTTGGCTGGAAGAAGT